GGTGGATTCCTGGGTCATGTTAAAACACCGTCCATTGGTTCTGCTTGATAGTCCCTCATTTGCCTGTGGTGCTGTCACTGCCACCATCTGAAAATGCTTGAACATGGCAAGTTTCAGGATCCATGATTTACTGCATCTCTTCTTCACTAATTTAGAAGGAAGATCTGCTTTCCAAAGCAACCATGAGCACAAATTACTTCTGAAAATATGTCATTCTGATGTCTTAACTTCAGCAGTTGGGACACTCTCGTAAAAAAATATGTTTTAAACATATCCATCAGAAAGTAGTGCATAACAACATAAACTTCCCACAACCAAGAAACATTAATGATGAAGAGACTAATTAAAGAAATATATGTGATAGAAACCTCTTACTGTCTGTTGCAGCTCTCTTGTCACTGTGAAACAAACATTTGGCTTCATGGAAACAGCCTTTTTTAACAAAGTGCAAAGATGAAGAATGTAAATGTGATTTGTTCTGCCAGCATTTCTGGAATAACATTGATAAGTTGGCACTGTAGGGAACTGTAGCTTGCTTGTAATAAACTGTGCTTTTTCTGTTTCATGAATGTCGTGGTTTAAACCCAGCCAGGTAATTCGTTCGCTCACTTCCCCCCCTTTTCTTGCCCTCCCCCTGCTCTCGGAGGGACGGAGAGGAAAATCGAAAAGAATGCAACTCCCACAGGTTGAGATAAGAACAGTTTAGTAACTAAGGTATAACACAAATCACTACTGCTACCACCAATGATAATAATGATAAAGGAACTAACAAGGGAAGAGAATACATCATCTCACCACCAGCCGACCGATAACTCACCCCCCCAGCCCGACCAAGCTCTGACCGATACCTCCTCCAACCCTGCAGTCTCCCAGCCCTTCCAGCTAACTCCCAGTTACATCCTGGGCATGACGTGCTGTGGTATGGAATACCTCTTTGGTCAGTTTGGGTCAGCTGTCCTGTCTCTGCTTCCTCCTGGCTCCCCTTCTCCCTGGCAGAGCATGAGCCTCACAAAGTCCTTGGCCAAACCAAAACATCGCTATCAGCTCTGTTCCCGAGCTGAAAGTCAAAACACTGCACTACACCAGCTACCAAGAAGGGGAAAAATGACTGCTACTGCTGAACCCAGGACATTATCCACCCCTTATTCCATACCATTCACGTCATGCTCAGATCCCACATTTTCAATACACCCATCACTCCACTCTTATCTAAGTGCATGGACTATAAAGCTATATCCCTATAAAGCTGCTGAGTCCATCTGGTCCATGATGTCAGGCTCCATCTCTTGTAACAGTCTTCCAGAGCAGGAGAGACTGTGTGCAGTGTTCACACTCGTGAATAACCTGGGCAATAGTGTCCATTGCTAAATCCACCCCTCGATCATGAGTCCATCTCTATGTGGCATCTCTGCTCTGATGGCTTGAAGTGCCATGGGCCAACCAGGCTTAAAATAATTCACTGTCCCCTTAAGCAGTTTCTGCAGCTTGTTGCTGGGGACTCCACACAGCTGCCTTCCATCTCCGATGCTTCCAAAGCACTGGAGGGGCCCAGTGGACTAGATACTTGCCCATACTGTCCCACACACCCTGCCACTCCTGGCTGTCCAGCCTTGGGGAAAACCTCTTGGTCCCCCCATATCCTCGTCTAACCCCAGACAAGACCCAAACCTGACTCTGCTTAACTTTTGAGATCAGACAAAATGGTCGTGGGTAGAACACAGTCTGTGTGTGTGCCAACATGCTGATCCCCATCACGATCAGCAGGCAGGTGCCAAGGATACCCAAAGGCCATTCAAAACCTTCAGAACTCTCAGTTGATGCTGCTGTACTTGTCACTGGGGCTGGTGTAGCTGCTGTACTTGTCACTGGGGCTGGTGTAGCTGCTGTGCTTGCCGGCGCTCCCACCGCCAGCTTCTCTTTTCCTGAGTCCAGCTCTTCCTCCTCTGCCTTGCTGGGAAATGCTGCGTGGTCTCCTGCATCCTCCTGGGGCTCGGCAGGCGGCTTCCGGGAAACGCTCTCGGCCGTCGCGGGGCTGGGCTCCTCCGCGGGGCTGGGCTCGGCCGCGGGGCTCGGCTCGGCCGCGGGGCTCGGCTCCTCCGCCGCCTTCTCCCGCTGCTCGGCAGCCCCTTCTTTCTGCTCCTCGACCGCCCCGACCTCCTCCACCGGCAGCCGTCCCCTCGCGGCCTCCGGCCCCGCTCCCGCCGCCGCTTGGTCCCCGGGGCCGCTCTCCCGGGCCGGTTCGGCTGCCGCCGGCTCCCGGGGCCGCTCCCCCTCGGCTCCCCGCAGCCTCACGAAGATGGAGAGTAGGGTGAGGGCCAGGACGGTGAAGAGCAGCCGGACGGCCAGGTACAAGTCCACAGCCACGTCCGTCCCGCCCTGCTGCTGGAGCCCGCCCGTATTACAAGCCATTGCCATAAAGCACAGTGAGACAAGAACCTTAGCCCAAGCCCCACACTTGATAAACACTATCACAGCAAATACCGGCTCTAGTAAGTTACAACATTCTGAAGCTGTGAGATCAACAAGAACAACTCTGAGAGCCAATAAATCAGCATTGTGACGAGTGACTATTAATCCAGTCAAATCTGTCGTTATCTCAACCCTTCATGCCCCACGTTGGGCGCCAAAAACGAACTGTCGTGGTTTAAACCCAGCCAGGTAATTCGTTCGCTCACTTTCCCCCCCTTTTCTTGCCCTCCCCCTGCTCTCGGAGGGACGGAGAGGAAAATCGAAAAGAATGCAACTCCCACAGGTTGAGATAAGAACAGTTTAGTAACTAAGGTATAACACAAATCACTACTGCTACCACCAATGATAATAATGATAAAGGAACTAACAAGGGAAGAGAATACATCATCTCACCACCAGCCGACCGATAACTCACCCCCCCAGCCCGACCAAGCTCTGACCGATACCTCCTCCAACCCTGCAGTCTCCCAGCCCTTCCAGCTAACTCCCAGTTACATCCTGGGCATGACGTGCTGTGGTATGGAATACCTCTTTGGTCAGTTTGGGTCAGCTGTCCTGTCTCTGCTTCCTCCTGGCTCCCCTTCTCCCTGGCAGAGCATGAGCCTCACAAAGTCCTTGGCCAAACCAAAACATCGCTATCAGCTCTGTTCCCGAGCTGAAAGTCAAAACACTGCACTACACCAGCTACCAAGAAGGGGAAAAATGACTGCTACTGCTGAACCCAGGACAATGAAGAACATGGCCCCTGAAGACAAGCCCCTCCACCATTACTCCCTGCACACACTGTACATAAAGTTTACTGAGAGAAATACACCAGGCAGAAACACAGTCTCTCAGGTACCATGTAGAAGGTGACCACACTCCTCACTGTACAAGCTTTATGTTCCTTACATACTTGTGTGGTTCAGCATTCAGAGCAATAGTCAGTCCTGTGACTTGTGAAGAGGCTAATTAATTCTGACTTCAGTTACAAAGAGAAGGGGGCTGTGGTCTGTGTAGAATCATAGAATCGTTAGGGTTGGAAAGGACCTTAAGATCATCAAGTTCCAACCCCCTACCGTGAGCAGGGACACCCTACGCTAAATCATATCACCCAAGGCCTTGTCCAACCTGGCCTTGAACACTGCCAGGGATGGAGAATTCACAACCTCCCTGGGCAACCCATTCCAGTGCCTCACCACCCTAACAGGAAAGAATTTCCATCTTACATCCAACCTAAACTTTAAGTTTGAACCCGTTACCCCTTGTCCTGTCACTACAGTCCCTAATGAAGAGTCCCTCTCCAGCATCCCTATAGGCCCCCTTCAGATACTGGAAGGCTGCTATGAGGTCTCCACGCAGCCTTCTCTTCTCCAGGCTGAACAGCCCCAGCTTTCTCAGCCTGTCTTCATACAGGAGGTGCTCCAGCCCCTGATCATCCTCGTGGCCCTTCTCTGGACTTGTTCCAACAGTTCCATGTCCTTTTTATGTTGAGGACACCAGAACTGCACACAATGCTCCAGGTGAGGTCTCACAAGAGCAGAGTAGAGGGGCAGGATCACCTCCTTCGACCTGCTGGTCACGCTCCTTTTGATGCAGCCCAGGATACGGTTGGCTTTCTGGGCTGCAAGTGCACACTGAAGCCGGCTCATGTTCATTTTCTCATCGACCAGCACCCCCAAGTCCTTCTCCGCAGGGCTGCTCTGAATCTCTTCTCTAAACTCTTCACCCATCATCATTAGTCTCAATATTTAATTTTCCTATTTTAGCCTGGCATTTGGCTAACACTTGTTCTAAATTGAAAACCTCAATAGAACATCAAAGCATCTTCTGCTTATGCTTGCTGAAAGATGAGGGTTAAATCCAAGGTCACAGGTAGCACCTTGTAAGTTTCAGTGGCCTTTGAATGATCCAGTGTTGAGTAGGTTTCTGATGTACTAAGAGCACCACTGTCCCTTCGAATTTGAAGCTCCCACAGTGGGGAATAAACACCACTCCATCCCCAAAACAGTATCTAGCATTCTATCCTGCTATCTGTGGTTTCATGGGACACATCTGTGACAGGGAACAGCACATAATAATGGTAAGAAATTTATTTGGCCAAGATTTACAGCACATTCAGTAGCAACTGCCTTTTTTTTTTTTTTTTTTCCCCCAGAAATACAATGCATTAGGAAGTTGTAGAGTCAGGAAAAATATGTCCCTTGTTAAATACAATCATTACTTAGAATTATATAACAAAGAAATGCAGAGTATTTACTTTTTATGGTGTTTGCTTGGTTGGACAAGAACACTCTATTTACATACTTAATCCAGCACTTCATTAATCCTCATTTTTTCCTTGCATTTTTTGTTGTTTTCAGCTTTATCATTCTTTCAGATGTTCTATATGCACTAAGTGTAATAGGCAATTACCATAAGAATAGTTCAGCCAGGTCACATTATAAATCAAACTAAAGACTAGAGCTACATCAGTGTGTACTAGCAAATGAAATAGAGCCTCTCTTGTCCGGAGAATCGAGTATCAGACAGCATATGGCACCTACATTCTGGTTCCTAAATTTCTTTCATGTGTAACCCCAGTAAAGTCAATCATTCATAGGTTTTAATTCTGGGAAATGTATTTCCGTGTCTGACTATTCAAGTGTAAAAGGCAAACTAGTTCAATAATGAAGATATTAAGGATGTAAGAGCAGAACAGAATTCTTTTCAGATCTAAAAGCTGCCAATTTGTCAGAAGTGAACAGTATCATTAATGATGACATTTAAATGCAGGATTTAACAGAGGCACTGCTATGAAGTTTATACAGTCTTACAGTTTAACAGCTTTGCTTCATTTGAAGGGAAAAAAGAGAGCCAGACTGTAGGATCAATTCCAGGAACATGAGGCCATCTAGTGGAAGACAACTTTTGTCTTTCAGGCTTTTTTTTTTTACCTCTCTAGCTCCTGCTCTACAATTATTTTCTGTAACTTGGGAAGTATCTCATTTGTGAATAATGGATGCAATAAACTTATTCTCTAGAAAGGTCACCATGGACAAAAAAAAAACAAGTCAACGTTTATTTTAATAAACATGCAGACTAAGTAGCTAAACAACATGTATGAATCAGAATTGTATAGATGTGGAAGAAAAATGAGCATGTAAAATTTAGCTGCAAACCTGGTAGAATCAAAGCACTACCTGGAAAAGCTGAAGCCTTTGGAAAAAAAGCATCTGTAAAAGTTTGAGTAAATGAAAGAAAACACTTCAACAAGGAAAACAGAGGCAGTGCCTGCACAGACGTGTCCACTAAGATCAGGTAGCACCGTCAGAAGAATAGGGCTCATGTGAAAACCAATTTGCTAGAGAAACAGAAATCCTGAGGAGTTGCTTTGCAGGGAGGACAGAAGTGTCAATCCCAACACTTGGGAGCAGAGAGAAGCAGCAAATGACAGAGCACAGCTGAAAAAGCTGCTGTGTGCTTTGTTCGCCATCACCAGATCAGGCAGAATGAATGAAATTAAATTAAGAGATTGTGATAAGGCAGTGTAAAGCTGTTCTCAGCCCTCTTCTCTACCATGCAGAATCCATTCAGCATGCCCCTGCTTGCTTCATTTGTAAGGTACCTCTGCTTTTCCTGCAAAGAGAAGCAAAGACATACACATTGCAGAAAATAAGCTTAACATTATGCACTAAAATATCTCTGAAGCCCTCAGCTAACAACTTGCTAAACATAAAAAATACTATAAACATTTGTAGGAGGCAAGAAGACACTGATCTGTAAGCATTTTGCCCTTTAAAAAGTTGTATTTTATCTATAAAAAGCTAAGTATCCTTGGTACTACTTTTGAATTCTTAGCTGACCTGATTTGGGTTCAGGTGCCTTGATAGCCCTGTGTTGTTCATTGGACTCTTCTTTTTACTGTCTGACTTCTACCATTGTGCTAGAATAGGAAGTTGCTCACGCAAATATCAAGGTCATTCATTTATAGCAATTGGACCTTATTGGTGGGAGAAGCCATTAGGCTATAAAGATTAAACAAAGGAGCAGAGGAGTAGTTACCCTGACAAATATGACAGCAATTAGGTACACTGGAAACACCAGACAACTGAGCTAATTTCAGTTTTTGGCATATTCAGGAGTAATTACATAGTATTGTACTTACAGCACTGCTTTGCAGAAAGAACACTTGTTGTTATATGTTTTCCCATCAGAGCCACAGAAAGGTTGATAGAGTCTTTCACAGTAAATAGGTCTTCCTCTCTCTAACCGGCTGTATTCACTGCAGTCTACCTGCAAATAGAGTATCAATTTTCTTTGAATCAATCTTTCTCACATTCTCCATTTATGTACAGAAATATTGAATATATGAAATTTTTGGACAAATTTGACAGCTGCTTTAGAACATCACAGACAAGGGGTTCCACCATCAGTATTTGCTGAGCCTAAGCCTGAAGAAATAAATGCTCCTTCTGAGAGAGATGTGTGTGATGCAACCCATGTCAGGTACTGAGCACATTTAGAGACTTTGCTGTCTATCAGTATAAGAATAAGTCACTGGAAAAATACAGCCCTTTTTCCACCTACAGAAAAGAGAAGTCAATATTTTTCTCTGCCTGCTTGCAATTGTCAGTAAATTCAGATGAGATTAGTTCTTGAGAGTGGGAAGGGTTTCTGTCTCTTATTGCACAAGTATCAGCTCTTTATGCTTTTTACACTGGTGAAAGGATCTGCCCAGGTGGAATTAAGTCCTATTTAAGTATTAGCATGAAAAGAAATTGTTGAAAGGCCTTCATCTGATAGTGGGGCTGTATTCATTACAGACTTACATATGAAAATGGGAGTACAAACTAATAAAAGAAATGACTGAAAATGCTCCTGTCCTAGTTTTGGAGCTTTATCTTCTGTCAAGTGAATTCATTCCTAGTATTTGACAAGCAAGAAGTCCTTGTGCACGGCACATATTCTACTTAATCTGCTATTTGTCACCCTCAAAAGCCTAGGATTTGCTTGCCTAGGAAATTGCCTGTCCTTATAGCTGCTGTTGTAACTAAAATGAGCTTTTTTTGGTGCTAGTCTAGTGACAGTTTGAAACATCCCAGTCTTTGGAAGGACATTATGTCTGCAGCTTTTGCTTTCTGAAAATCTAGCCAAAATATGTATTATAGATTTATATATTTAAAACAGAACCCAGCTTTGCTGTTCTCTTCTTATGGAATGTTTTTTTTCTGCCCCCTTCATTCTAATTCTTAGTGAAGGACAGGACTATTACTGCAGCCAAACCGTGGAATTTATTACAGATTATATGATTGGTTTTGTGGTAGTCATTGCCCAGGGTCTGCAAATGAGTGAAGTGAGGAGCTGTGTGTGGTCAGCCCCCTCAGCAGCCTGGGCCATGGCTCAGCACAGACTGAGAGGTCTCCAGTGGCAAAAAGAGTCATTACCCAATCACTCCTTTGGGAATAATAGTCTTAAATCTGGGGCTGCATATATTGTGCTAATATGGGAGCAGATCTGTGTGTGTGCAAATTTCCCCCATGTACATCTGTGTAACAGCTGGTGAAATGGGGAAGATACATAGTTTGGTGTGGAGAGTGGAACAGGCTCTTCTTGGGAAAGAATGGATGTCTTGGTGTAGTTCTAGGCGTCAAAAGCTGCATATATTGTGCTAATATGGGACCAGCTCTGTGTGTGTGCAAATTTCCACTCCCTGCTACTGTCCACCGGACTCTGAGGGGGCTTGTCTCTGCTTATCTGAGTATCATTTGATGCCCCATTTCTCTCAGAGATTGACCCCAAGATGGGCACTGCAGCATAGTCAGAAATAAAATCTCCAGCTACATGATTTAGGATCCGAAAGGCACCAGAAACAAAGTGTCATCACCAGGTAAATAATAAAAAATTCCTGATTTCTCTCACTTAAAATTTGGCCTTGCCCAATTTGTTGTCCACTGGGCAGTACAAGTGAAAACATCTGGAAGTTCTCAGGTCAAGTGTATGGAAACCACGTATCTCAAACTCATGGATTTCTCTCTGAAATCTCAATTATTTGACACCATTTAATTAGGGATTTCTCTCTGAAACCTCAATACTTTGACACCATTTAATTAATGCTTAATATGTTTTTATCTGACCTCATGTTTTTACTAACTACGTATTTTTATAGAGCAATAAAGGAGAAAATTACTCACCTCATTCTCTTTGGCAGCATCTGCAAGGCAAGCAGAATCATAAAAGATAAATTAAAAACTGCTGTTGATGTACATTCAGTTTGCAACTAGCATGATTTCCCTACCAGCCCTTCCAACAACACTACATCTCTTACTAGCTTGAAAGTGAATACTTGGGTTTTAAGTGTTTAATAAGCTGCAGGTGTCAGAACCTATTAAACAAGTGGTCCTTGTTGTATTTCTTACCTTAGAAACCTGTGTCAGCAGCTAGAACAGCCTATGCTGTGGGAGGGGAGAAAGGATATTGTTCCCCTTTTCAGCAGAAAATATTAGAGACCCAAAGTCAATGTTATGTTCAATAGCCAGTCTGTTTAGGATAAACAAATTGTAGAGCATGCCTGGGTTTTAATTCCCAAGTTTATTTAAAAAAAAAGTTAAATATTGGATGTGGCTGTAAGCAAATCACAAGGTCCTTTTCTGCTTTGGATTTCTGTCACTAATGAGGATAGTATCTTCATTGCAATACAATACTAGGTATATATAATAATAATAATGCAATTGGATCATAATATCACTTTAAAAAGTGTTTTCCCTTGCTGGTTCATATGTATTCTAAACTATTGGGCAGAAGGACTGGCTCCTATTTTGCATACACATGGCATCTGATATAATGAAGCCCTGTTCTCAGGTGGGACTTCAAAAAGCTTCTTCAACACAATGACATGTACACCTCCCAGAAAGTCATCAAGTAATGCTGGCATGTCTCCATTGCAGTGACACACTTGTTACTTTCTTTAGGAATGTATTTTGTCCTGTAACTGTCATTCTGTGGCTTCCAAGGGATAAAAGTGATCAGGCAGAGGCTTCTGTACAGAAGGAGCAGGAAGAAAACATACTATGGCAATGCAGCTCTAGCATTTGTTTTTCTGACTAAGCGTAACTCGTTTTAATTTTTAAAGCCATTAAGCCTTCCACTGAAACTTCCTTTCATGGAGCTGCTTACAACTTCCCAACAAATAAAGTTGTTCAAGGTGAAGAAAACCAGCAAAAAAAAAAGTGCTCCATGTCATGCTTCAGTCTGTCACCAGAACTGTGACTGAATTGTCATTATTCTGGAATTGGATCAGATGTAACCCCCTCCCATAAAAATATTAAGGTGCTATTTTTTCTCTGGTAACTTTTTAAAAGCCACTATGTATTTGGGAGTGAATGCAAAAAAAGATGTGGCTTAAAAAGTATCTATCCATACAGTTTTAATGTAGACCAGATAAGTTAAAAAGTTCAAGGAAAGGATTTGCTGGAATTCTTCAGGAAACAATATTCATTTGTTTTTCTGCACTCACTGAAACACTGACAGAACAGTTTCCATCAAAAGCATGCCATTTCACTGAAATTGACATTTGTCATGAGAATTTTGATTTTAGACAATTTTCAAAGCAAACTTTTCAGAGCTATTCAAAATGTAAACAGATTATTTTGGCTCATAATATTGATTTTAACATTTTCATTGTTTTGCTTCTTTAATGCTATTGAACTGTTATACTACTGGCAGTGAAGATTTGGACTCTCCGTTTTTGTAAATGTACTTATTCTTCTTTTTTTTTCCTCCAATTTTTTTTGTTAACAAGAAAAAAAAAAAAATTGCCAAGTGGAGGCTCAAGAACTTGCTCCCAGCTCCCTATTTTACCACAGAGCAACCTGCACCTCAAAGCTCTCTCCAGCCTAGCAAACTAATATCATTAAGAGGTTATTCACGGCCATATTATATGGCCAATGTATAATCAACTGTCTTCTGCTTGGTCAGTGTGGTAGGAGAGGCACCACATCAGCTCCAAGCTCCCTGCTCAGATGGAAGAAAAAAATAAGTAGGTAAAAACCTGTTTTAGTTCTGAGGCTTTACAGTTCACTTTTTACTTGCACTGTAGAATACAGCTCTGATTCACACCATCATCAAAGGAATAGGTTTCATCTGCTTAAGTTGGAATTTCTAAAGCTGGTGCACTATTTTTTGAAAAATAATGCACAAGCATAAAATTTCACTTGCTTTTTGCTACCCAACCATTGTTTTTTATCCCAGTAGACTGAGAAGCTTGCATCGTTTGAACAGGAGAATATATCAGAAAATAAAATGGTTACTCACTTGCTAAGCAAAGAACTGCCAGCGTGAGAAGCACAAAGACACCTGTTATCTTCATGGTACTCATGGGTTCTTGACTTGTTTCACTGCTAGCCTGTGCTCTTGGTATTCCAGTAAGATTATCTGAGATGTGTATTCCTGTATCTGTGAGAGCGGATATATATATATACATACACGCACAGAGCAGGAACCCTGATGATGAAATCCCCCTTGTAGAGAAGGTAATTAGAAGAAGGTGTTGCCCATGGGTAGTGTCAATAAGAATGTCTTCTGTACAGCATGAAGGTCATAAGTACAGGGCAAAGATGAGTGTCACAGCATGGATTGTGTTGATACAGGAGATGTACTGTACTTTGGTTAAGCTCCTTGCCTAATTAACTGTTCCATGTCCATTAGCGAGTTCAGGGAGTGACTCAGTAAGGTGGTTACTTATTGCTGTTATTGCCATATTGACCCTTAGAGTTGAACATAGTTCCCAGGGGAAAAATTATTCTCACTGGGTGTGTTTCAAAAGATTCATGCCAGTAGAACTGAAATGCATAATTCCTAATCTCTTGAAACTTTGGAGAGCCTTGTCACTAGCTGTGGATAGAGGTGATGCTGGTTACTATGGCCATACATGGAGACCTTTCAGACTGCTCTGTGGCGGTAGTCGCCGCTTGGAAAAGTCTGTGTTTCACATGAATACTCTCACCTTCACACACAACTCAAAAGATCCCCCAGTATTTCAGTGTTCTTCTGCCTTTAACGTTCCACCAGTTCAGAGATCAGAAGCAAAGCTTTGTGACAGAAGGAGCAAAAACACTGCATTGCACTGCCTAGTGAAGTGACGAGTTCACAGCCGTTGTGCATCCTGCTGAGTTGCTGCCTACTTTGCTGTCATGGAGATAAGGAGAAGATTTTTCTGCCTGCCCATCTTCTCTTTTGCTGCTATTTCCAGCACAATAGGTGTCATATCATGTGGGATCCTTTAAACAAATCCAACATACCAGTATGTTAGTGACTTAATCAATAGGCATAATTTTCTTCCTTTTTTAACACATGCAAGGGGTTCAGTTACAATGGGAGACTCAGCTCTGAGTCTTAATTTTCATAAATTTCAAAATTATGAGGAGTTTTGAGCCTATAGTTTGGTTTGAACCTTCCAGAATTGCCTTCTCTTTAGCGATTTGCAATGTAGATTTGCAAGTTGTTTCAATATGAAAGATCCCTGCGCATCATTACAATTCACAGTATTTCAGTCATCATCTTCCCTACATCACAAGATAGCCTGAGGCTTCTTCCCCATGCAGGAGTTAGGGTCATACATGCTAATTTCACTTAGACAGAGGGACTGAGAGCGCTTACAGAGAAGGTGGTGATAGGTCAAGTAGAACTTGGGCCCCACTAATTCATTCAAAAAAAGATAATCTTGTTTCTAAAGAATGTAAATGATGAATAAATGGTTAATTTCTCATCACTTAATGGGAAAAAAAAAAAAAAGCAACAAACCAGATGCCATCAAATTCCAGTTCCAGGACAGACAAAGATCTGGATTGAGCTGCAGGCCTGTAGATTTTTTTTCTTTATATGCCCTTACTTCAGAGATTTAATTGTAAGTTATTCTTTATTCTTAATGTCGACATCTGTGCATATTCCTCTGAAGTGGAGATGGCAGAAGACAGGCTGTAATTTAAATGGGGGTTGGTCTGGATTCTGCTGCTTTGTGAAATTTTTGTTCTGGAAAGCCCAAATCTTTCCTGAAGAGCTTCCCACAGAGCATGTATAAACTCCTGGAGAATATTCAGGACATGTTTGCTGGTTGATGGACAATTACCAACATTAAGCAACAAGAGCAAAACCCCAAACCACCCAGAAGGTACTCCTTGTCTGAATAGTTTTGAGCAAACAAGTCTCTTGAGAATAGCTTCAAACTATAAAACTGCAGCTTGACAGAACATGCAGGTTCCTTGACACTGGTATGAGGAAATCTGCCACTTTGGTTACACTCTCTTGCCTAATATGGTGCTACAAAGTCTACTGTCTGATGCAACCTCAATATCCATCTCATCCCTCTAACAGAAGAATATAAACATCTGTTTGCAGTCTTCTGAGTTGATGCAAAAAGGTTTTCTGAGGATTGGTGTGGAAAGGAAGAGAGGACTTTTGGAAGTGGGAGGGAACTAATGGGGAATGTAGACTTTGGATCAGATTTTTCTCAGTATCTGAAAATTACCTTGCTATTGACAGGATTCCTTATGCTTATTCTATGACCCGTAACAGAAAAGCCATGGTGTGAATGTTTTCTTTCTGGTAATGTTTAAGTTGTTTGATTAAGGCTTTTGAATCAAATTAAGATTCATTTTCTGAGCAGTGGACCTTAAGCTTAGTAGGGCTTGCCCAGGCAATTCACATAGGAAGGATACAGTTCTGACGAGAAGCTGTGACATATTGTGACAATATGTGACATACTGTAGGGTGTGCAAATAGACACTAAATATAAGCATGGCACAACAGGGGGTCAGCTGAAGTTCTGGAGATGTTAGCATTTGGAAACATAAAAGCTATCTTGAAGCTTTGAGAATTAAAATGCCATGCACAGAAAATAACAGTCTGTTCCACTTTCTGCAGTGCGGTAATACTCATGCAAAGTCTCAATAAAAAGTAGTGTCACAAAACATTTATTGCACCTCCCATTTAAAAGGATACCCAGATATGTCTGTATCTATATGCCTAAAAAAGGGCAGAATTCACATTAGCCATAATAGTCACCATTTGACTGAAAAAATGCTTCATTTGAGGCGTCTTTCTGTCCAAACTTGCAGAGGCTTGTTGTTTGCCCTGGTAGTCTTCATACAGAGCTGGTCTAACAACCAGCTGTCATCCTGTCATCCTCAGGTAGGCCAAGGGTTCACCTAGATCACAGTGCTGTCTTTGAGAACATTCAGCTCAGCTCAGAGGAGAACAGAGCAATTCTTTTGATGGGCAAGCTGAACACAAGCAAACGGTTTGCCCCTACAGTGAACATTTCCAGCTCTGCACAGTAGGCTTTATTAGTAAGAATGTAATTATCAAGTGAAAAAAAATCATTGTTTCCCCCTGTTCAGGCTGCATCTGGAGTTCTGTGTACAGTTCTGGGCTCCACAGCACAAGAAAGATACTGAAATACTGTATCAAATACAGCGAAGAACCACAAAGATGTTTAGAGGGATTAAGCATACTAGGAAAGACTGAGAGAAGTGGTTTGTTCAGTTTAAATAAAGAAGGGAAAGTCTCACTGTTTTCTTCAGCTACGTTATAGGGATGTACAGAGCAGTCAAGAGCCAGACTCTTCTTGGAGGCTCACAGTGAAAGGAAGCAAGGGAATAGAGCAAATTGCAGCAAGAGAAATTCCAATTAGAGGTGAGGAAAACAAATTTCACAATGAGAGCAGTCAAGCATTGGAACAGGTTGCCCAGAGACATCACTGGAGAGACTAAAAAATGGATCTGTTCTTACCGTGATTTGGTGGTGGGGCAAGGATGTAGGGAACCAAGAGCCCTCCAGTGGTCCATTCCCACCTGAACTGATTCTGTGATTCTCGTAAGTGAATGTCATCTGTTGCTGACAGTCAGCTACTTTGGGACTTTGTGGCATATTGTATTTGTCCTTATGAGTTCATATTTCTAGGTTTGACAAAGCAGACACTGAAAATAGAGTAGGACATTGATTTGATTTTAGCTCCTCAGAATAAAAAAGTTGTTGGGAAACAAGTGTTCAGATCTGTTTGGTTACAGCTGCTTCCCAGAGTTGGATAAGTAAGGCCTCTTTACCTAAAAGAAAATCTGAAATCTGTGGTAAATACTCTGTTTGGATTGAAAAATCAGGAGTGAAATCTTGGCCTCATCAGCAGACTTGTACTGGTTTCCATTGGCCGGGACGTCCTGTTTGAATACATGTACGTTAATTGTGGGCCTCTGGTAATTTTCTACTTTCCTTATTGTATCTTGTCTTTTCCCAACTTCTTATCTCTCTGAATTGTTATTTAGAAGAAAAAGCAGTTGCTTTTTGAACACATGATTATTCACTTTAATGGGCCTGTTACATCTGATGTTATGTTAGTTTGTATTTTTCTGAGTGAGAGCATTTGTCACAATTATTGATGCATTGCTTTTATTTTTGGAGCCCTGAATGGCGCACAAATATGATGGCAAGAATGCTGCTGTAGCATGTCATTAGCTAAGTGCCTGCTTTATTCTGCATGGGAGGATGTTATCTTGCTGCATTCCAGAAAGCGCTGGTGGCAGCAGCTTGTTCCCATTCATGTGGAGTGCCTCATAGTGAGGACATCAACAGTGCTGAAAAAAAAGGCACATGGAACAACTAAAAAAACATGTTCTCACACCCCATGTATACCTGCGAAGAATGCACAAGCCAAGGTAGATGTTGGTACAGTCACGAGTGGGAATTGAGACCTGTTAGTGATTCCAGTGCCTGTTTACACGCAACCCAGTACACAGACTCCATCAATTTTGTTGTGGGTGGGTGGTTAGGGTTGTCCACCCATGTGCAATTAATGTATCAGACTTTTAAAGTCTTGCTCAATGGAAGATTTGCGAACCAAATGATGTATTTCTTAAGGCATCAAACCATGCCAAAACATTTGGATATCTGCCTGAAGGAAGGTGAGTTTCCCATTTTGCACACCTTAAGAGAGATCAAAGAAGGGTTTAGTTAAAATTGCAGCTGTCAAGCTGGGACAGGTCCCCACTGAAGCTTTCAGGTGTGATTTTAGAAAGTAAAAATACCCAACACCAGACTCCCTGCAAAGGCTGGAGCTGATCTTTATTCTTTTTCTTTGTATCTTCTGATCTCTTTAAGGTAAATTACAAGGCTGTGATACCTACTATTGTGAAACTACCTTGTGAATCCCTTGAGTTACTTAGTGTTATACCATTGATGTTTCTGAATGACTTGATTCTTCACAGATATATGCAAAACAGGCATTAGCAGCTTAGTACTTAGTTCTGAATGAATTGGACAGTGAGCTCTGAATAGGACTGATTTTGAATCACACTCTATTTCGTACTTCAAGATCTAACTTCCAGGCGCTTAGCATTTCAAAGTTCTGTCACACTGAAGACAGTCAGTCAAACAGACATATTTGAGGAAAGCTTTCTTTTAAGTTTTTTCATGTCTCAGAACAAGGTTAGAGGACACACATTGGTGTTGCCTGCATTAAAAATCTTACCTCTATTTTTATAAAATCTCTTATAAAAAAGAAGCTACGACTTAAGTAGAAGAGGCATGAGATGAAGGTCAACATGAAAGGAGGGGTGGATGTGAAGAATTTGGACCTGAAATCTGTGCTCTTTCACAGAACCCCTAATCAGACCTAAGCCTCCCCCCCTCTTTTGCTGTTAGCAGTCTCTGCTTACCCAGCTGTAATGGGTGAAGCACTTAGAGGATAGCAAGCTCCTACTGTAACCTATTAGTGCCTCATTAAGTATAGCAACTATTTGCAAAGCCTTCTTTAAGATGAGGATCACCCACAAAAACCCCTGGAGGCAATTAGTCAGTCTCAGTGCAGTGCAGATTTAGGGAGGTGTGGTAGGCAAAACCTAAACCCACATGATGAATGAAGAGTCTGAATAGAAAGCTAGAGGAGCTGCCCCTTCCCAGGAGATTCCGGCTCACTAAGACAGGGGTCCAGTAGAAGACCTATTATGTGTCTATATGATTAATAACTATAGTTGCCTCAGGAATAAACATCATTCTATAATTTTATATCAAAGAAGCTTTGATGCAATATAAGGCAATTTTTTACATTGTGCAGCCTGATTGAGTCTGCCCATTGTGACATTTAGGAGAAGGTTTCCAGATCGTTTGCAGTGCAACCAGCACAGGAATTAAGATACAGAAGTACAAGGATTAACAGGCACATCAGCTATTATTTTCTTGACTGGATGGGTTATGTTCAGAAATGATCTCCAGTGTATGGAGGCACCATAATGAATATTTGCACTGTGATACTGACACCCTTTTATAGAATCTAGAGAGTTCCCCAGAGTTGGGAGACTGACAATTTCTAGAACAGATACTCAGGGGCACCTGGATCTGTATAAGGCCCAGGATATGGATAATCAAGGACTGAAGCCAACTTCAAGCTGTGCTTTGCTATTTTTCTGAAGAATCATAGACAATGACTTTCCTCACTGAAGCTTCCTGCAGGGAGGTTTAACTCACATTGTGGGATCAAGGCACAGAAAGGCATTTTCCTCCAAAGATAATAGTTTCATATAGTCTTTATCAGGATACTTGTAAATTCAGCCTGAGTATTTCTGGGAGTGAAAATGGCTGAATTGAAGGTGGTGAGAGGTTTCAGTGACTGGTTTCAATGGTGCCGGGGTTTCAGCCCAGATATTCAAAGAACAGGAAGGTCCTAATTCTGAACACTGTACCAACAGTTTTAGAGAGAAACCTCAAAGACCTCAAGATACGTGTCAGCCTAGTTTCAGTTGCAAACCTCCTGACCACAGAGGCCAGTGAACTTCAGCGTGCTCTTAGGCTGCAGAAGAAACAATCCTTTCTTGGCCTGCAGAAGCGGGTTTAGAAGAGACTGACGACTAAGAGGCATGACTCTTCTGTGTTCTCTTGTACACTTTTACAAGCCATGAACTTGGTAGCATTAATCAGTAACATTACTTCTCCCTACAGACATTGCCTCAAAAGTAGTGTATAATATACTGGTAGGAAGGTGAAGAGTGATATAAACCATTCTCAAATATCATAAGTAAACCAAGTTTTCTTGTTTTCAGATGTATTTATTATTAGCTTCTTTGTAAAAAAAACACAGTAAATTGCATTTATAGCAAAAATAAGATGTGCACCTTAATAAATACTAACAGCACTTGTAGCTAGATTATCAACAGTTTTCTGAAATACCAGATACATCCCACATTTCAGTGTCTAATATCTTAAATTACCACCTAAAGTTGCTAAGACTGGAAAAAAGGAAGCACTGTCACAATGGAAGCCTGTCTTTAATTTCAGTGATTCTCTACCAGGGATTAAGGCCTAGATCTTCAAAGATATTTTAACGTGTTTCGCCCTCTTGGAAGTCAGGACTTAGGTAGTTTTACAAAAATGTACAGGCTTCAACACTTGCTTCCACCCCTTTCCAGACCTGGGCACTTACACTGTAAGCAGTACAGAACCAGGACTTGATTTTTTCCCCAAGGTTCTGTGAAGGCACCTAACATGTTGCAGAAGTAGGGCAATACTTTCAAAATGAACTATAAAAATCTGTATTCTAAAACTCTGTGTTTAACATCCACAGATAAAACCAGTTACCAATTGTTATCTGAGGTACCAGATAAACTGCAGTTTTTCTTAAATCATTTAAGCTGCCTTGGTTTCAGTTGCAGATTCATGACTACTTGTGCCCTGTGGCACAGCAGATCTGATTTAATGTTACTGTCAGAAAACACCACTGCAAGAGATGCACTGGGTACAGTTGTGTCACTGAATAAAGGGCCTCTAATGATCACAGGCATGAAAGAAAGGAGTTTTGTTGAGGAGGTGTTATATTCAGCTACTGGCCCCCTTTTTCTTTCATGTTCACCAGAGGTGGCAACAGCAACAGGACTTTTCCAACCACAGCAGCTCAAAGCTTCCTCCATCGCCGCCGTTGCAGCTTGGGCTCAGCTGCAGTCATAGGCCTTTAAGAGTGATTGACCTCTCAGGCAACAACCATTTGCAGTGTTCATACCTGGGCATCAACATGATGTAAACACAGGCAGTGGAAAAACTCCAGCAGCAAACATTGCTAGGGCTCAGAACTTGCAATTCCTTCTGTTACTAAAACACCTGCCATCACACTGGCCAACAACGATGGCCCAGAGACATGATACGTGGCTGCCACATGCAGCCAAGGCTTTCTGTGCCAATACATTTCAACACAATAAATAATAGTAAATTAAAATAAATAGGTTATCAAATAATTAAACAGTTAAATAATGGAATACTAAACCAGTTCTTTCAGCACGTTACCTTCCGAAATAAATTAACACATGAAACAGTTTAAATAGCAATTTAAATGCCATCATCTGGCATTGCAAGTCATGTCAAGTAAATAAATAATAATAAATAAATAAATAGAAGCAATACAAGAATATGCAGAACCTATAATAATGGCTAACAGCAATGCACCAAAATACTATGCATGTTAATATAACATGATGTATGCTAAAGGCATTACTAAAATCTAAGGAATTTAAAAGAGCTGCCAAAATCAGGACCACATCAATCTATTCCAAAAAAAAAGTAAGCATGGCTTCTTAATAATCTCAATGCAGATTTCCTTCTAATTATGTTTTTGTGCTAGTTCATTCTTTGTTTTCTTTAGGAGGACTGTGCCTCCTCCTAGAATCTCTTACTGGTTATCTGTAAAATAAGAGAAAGGAAATTTATGTAAGAACTAAGAATTATCTTCATTTCCCTCAGATATAGATTTTTAGTCCATTTCTCAATAAGGGTTTGCTGGTCTGAGCCATCCAGTGAAATGCCACTCCTCAATTGCTCTAAAGGACTGCAGACCACGCAACGCAAGGCTCAGGAGTTCCCGTGTGAACATGACAGAAGTGTGATCTCATTTCAAATGTTTCAATAGGGCTACGAGTTTACAACTTTTCAAGAGTGTGACTCAGGATACTTGGAGGTCAGAGAGATTTGCATCTCCATCTAAGTGAAAAAACCCACCCCAAAATTACATAAGAGAGGAAGAAGAGAAAAATCTGCATAACTCTTTTGGGTGTTGGGTCTGAAGGAGGATATTTCCATATTTAAAAATATGTTTTGACTTGGAAAGCTGGGCTGAGAGTAATTTAGAGCTGTCAGAGAGCACTGATCAATTCACAGAATAAGGAAACAGCCATTTCTAGGACTAGCAGAAGCTGCTTATAGCTTTTCTTTCTAATAGCACATATCTCAGAGCTCTCTCTTACTCCCTTTCTTATTTTACTGGTAGAACTTGGCTGTATATGGGTTGTCTGCTGCATTTGGATGCTCAACATTGATTCAACATTGGCAACAACCAAATGCTCATCTATTTCTTAGGCAATATTTGTAAATGCCTAATGGGGTAGAATGCTACCTTTGTCCATGAACCTACATCTATTGTTTCCTCTCTGATTTAAATGGATTAAATAACCAAACATTCAGGAGACAAAAATGTCTGTGAGGACTACGAGGAATTGTGAAACAAATGAATATTTAAGAAGCAGAAGTAGTTCAATGGGCACCTTACTCTCCTAGGTAAGGAATCACCCCTGCTCCTCCAGCAGGAGGTTCTGTTAAGTCTTACCTGCAAAGTGAAGACCACTCACTCCAGGATGAATTGTAATAGCGATCCCTGGCTTGCACAGAGATCTTCCTCTTTGGCCCAGCCACTGGAATCTGAATGGCCTGCTCATCAGTGCCATAGACCTGAACGGGGCACAGCTCCATCAGCAGATTGTAAAGGTCAAGCAGAACACACAATAAAGTGCCAGACAGACTGCAACAAGCACATATAACTTGAAAACTCCACTGGCAGTCTGTTGTTTCCAAGGCACCAGTCTTCACCCACAGATACCAAAGTCATGAGGACTTGTGAAATCTTAAGCCTCAGTAAAAACAAACTAAAAGCCCACTTTCCACTGGAGTTAGTGTTGTAAAGTGATCCAACCCCAGAACTCAGTCATTAAAACAAAGGGTTAACTTGTTTATCTGGGGTTTTCTCTTTTTTCTTCTTCTTCCAGAGTGGGAACCCTAAAAGACAGACGTTGCTGCTTTTCAGTATCGCTGAAATTTCCACTGAGGGCTTGTGGCTGCTGCAAGAAGCACTCCCCGCTTCTCTGCTCAGGGACAAGGAGCTCTACTAACGCCACTAAAATCAAGGAGTCAGCACTAACGGGAATAGCCCCATCTGCCGGTACACGCTTGCTGGGTTGGGTTTTTTTCACATGAAAGAAGACATCCTCTAGTGTCTGGTTTACAAACTGGAGTGCTAATTACATCGCTTTACTTTTCTGACTGCTGGACCAAGGAAGAGCAACACTGCAGTTAAGGACCTGCGCTGTGGTCCACTGATTTGTATGTTTCTTTCCAGTTCTGCTTTTGATTTGTCAACCTAAGCAAATTGCCATACTGCTGTCATGTACCCTTCAATGTGTATCCCATGAGCATGAGCAAATGAAGCAAAACCATTTTGTGATTTCAGACTAACACAGAGTAGCAATGATTAGTTAACAATTAACTGATAACTGGAAAGTTAGTGCCCAAGACGTCAGTCTGCACCAATCCCCACAGAAATGCTACCAAATGGGTCACTGGTTCCTCATTTGCCAAGTCACCCACAAAGAAAGTCTGAGCTACCCAGGTAGAAACAGCACACAAGGAAACCAGTGCAACAGATCCTAGACTTCTTGGTTTGGAAATGGGGATTTTCCCAAGTTAGGACCCACACAGCCTACTAATGAATTAGTAATCACTTTTCTCACACAAACACAGCTATGCAATGCTGGGCACGATTTTATCTTCCCAGTGACATCAGCACTGCATCCACCCCAGAGTGTGTTGTTTGGATCTTACTGCTCACAGAACTAGGAAGAGGTCTCTGTGCCAAGACAGTACCCTGCCACATTTGGGTCTCAGCACCCTTTTTTATTATTATTATGTTTTTAATTTTAGTCCATAATTCTTGCATACTAAGTTTATATTATTTATACTGTCTGTTCCAGCAAGAAAACTGTGTTTCAAATGCTGTATCTCTACCTGGCTGTTGCGTTTCTTTGTACTTTCAACTTTGACCCTGAAAGTCAAAGGGAAGTAGGACTTAGGTGTGCTCCATGTTCCGGGATAGGTCCAGGTCACTGTTCCATTTGTGGCCACATACTGACACTGGGGTGGGTCAGGTTTTACTGCAAGAGAAGATAGAGTTTGCATTAGCGGCATAATATTAGATGTTGCTATACTACTGTTGGTAGTTTTATAGGAGTCATCTTTTGAGGGCCCCCATGAGATTAAAAGAGGGGTAGACATGATCGATATGAATTGCCTTGTATGCTTCTTATGAAAGCTTAAGCACACTCCCAGAGTCTCTCCAGGTTAAGATCCTTCTTTTTCTTTGCTCAGAGGGTTGCAGAGGGCTCTGTTGGACACAGAGGAATGTCTTTAGGCCCTGCTGACTGTTAGGACATTCAGCAAAGCATCTGTTTCCATAGGATCCTGCTTCCTTTTCCTGTGCCCTGTGGCATCATGGACACAACTGGTCCTCTTCTTTCCTGTCAGTTTCTATTACCCTGCCCTGGATGCCCATTTGTAAGAATGTATTGGGGGAGAGCATTAACCATTATCTGGGTAAATCTGCAGTTCTCAGAGAAGAGGCTGCTGGGTTATTGGTTATTCTCTGACTTCTTTCGTATCCCCCTTACAAAACATCTCCATCTAATAAAGAAGGCTACAGAAACATCTGGGAGATGCAGTGTTTGAGGGTTTGAGGTCACAAGCTAGGAAAATGTTGCTTCTTCACTTCCTCATCCTCTTCCAGACTGCTGCTATGATTTGTTTTCCCCTGTTCCTGTAACTGGGGGCTTGATACAGATTTACAGTAGAACAGGGCAGGGATTCCCAAGTTTGGTTTGATCAGCTCCCATTGTTAGTTCCACTATTGGCAAGAATAAAGCTAAGACTTAATCATGATTCCTGATGTACTCACTGATATCTCTGATGAAGAAGCTGCTAGTGTAGTTCTCATATTCCACCTCATCAATGACCTCCAGGAACATCTCAATTGGCTCGTGCTCTTCAGCAAAGGGACAGTAGCTTTCTTTCTGGCACTGGGCTGTGTATTCAGTCACTGATATGTCAGTGTGAGCTACAGGGCTGCTGCAGATTATGTCTCCTTGAGAGCTGAATACAGAACAGAGAAAAGTACTGGAAATGCTGGTTTGTTCTGAGAATTTGTTGCCACAAGAACACCATATAGTTGGTAAGGTAATGTTCTGATGTTGCCTGGATCATTTTATGGCTGTGCTTCAACAGCTAAGGGACAGTGGGAGTTCTTAGCTCTTACATTTTCAGTGCTGTATTCATATTAATGTAAATCACAAAAGCCCCCCTGCCTTAGCAGAATGAATTAGGGTTTAAACCTAAACCAGGATATCTCATTCCTTATTACCACTGTCCCATGACAAGCTTACTTTGTTCCTTAGCCCTTTCCAAAGCCTTGCTGGAACAAATAAGAGAAGGTTAAAATATATCCATTGGGAAATAAATAACAAAAGCCACCTATAAAGTACTACCTGAATCCAGTTCTATTTTTGCATTAAGCAAAATAAAACCCTTTGCAGTTGTTTCTTCTTTAACAAACTGAAGTGACGTTTGTTTAAGCCCTCCATGTTTTGGAGAAACCCCCAAGAGTAGTGGGAGGCAGGAAATCCCCATAAGGTTCCCCTCACATATTTCCCCTGCAGGTTTCTGTAGCCTTCCTCAACAGAGACTCGTCAGTGGCATGTGGCTTCTGCAGTGGGTGCAGTCTCCCACTCCCCTCATTGCACTGGATCTGCTGCAAAGGGACTCAGTACTACAATTGTTTCTGCTTTTGGCTCAACTTCCTCTCTTTCCCCAGCACGAACTGGTTTGTTATTGCTTAAGTTACTCTGTGGCTGTACTGTAGCAGCTGTAACAGTCCAGTGGGGGCTGGTCCATTTTCAAGCCTTTATTAATTTCTGAGCAACTTCCATGCCCTTACTAAAGTTAGTCCCAGTGATGGCTCAAAACATTTTGCACATGTTCGGACTCTGGAAGAGGGATTCCTCGCCTTCTACATGTCCGCAGCAGCCTAAAATCCAGGATCTCCTATTGAGAGTAACACAAAGGGTGTTCCAGCCTTACTATGAGGTTGTTAAGGAAAGTACAAGCTTTTACCCTTTTAGACTTCTGATTGTGAACTTCACATTTGGACTCTCATTTTCTGTCATCCATGAACATACGAAAATTCCAGAGTAGTTCTTTGCCTCACATTTTAAAAACGTCTTGTTTGGTTCTAGATGGAAAAAGACAGAAAACACGATTTATTTAGTCTTTTTGCCAAAGAGGTCAAAGCAGAGAGAAAACAGTGATTCAGTAGGCTCCCATCTACTTTGGTAGCTGGTGGGTACATCAGCAGACACAGTCTCATACTGCCCTTGGGCAGCCACCTGTAGTTAAAAGCCATATAACCAGAGTCAGCAAGTGGCTGGAGGCTGGTTTACATGGGCCCACATTAACCACATCTACATGGCTATTAACAGGAGCTAGAGCACACCCCAGCTGTTGCAGATAGCTGTCAGTAAGAGATTTATATAGGCAAAGCCATTGTTCCTTTCAAAAAGAAACATTGGCGCTATTCAGTTGGTAAAGCTCTGTATTTGTTATGCCATGCATTGAGAGTGCTTGCAGTGGATCATCTCTCATCTTCACACACTGGGGCACTTTGTGGGGAATGTTTCCAGTGTGAGAAGTGAATGAGGCCTTAATACAAGCATGTGTTTTGTTTCTGCTGCCCAGCACTGCAGACTCTCTATATTCCACCCTGGATGTAGCTGACTGGCAGATCAGCCTACTGCATCTGGCATATGGGTCCAGGAGTCAGGGAAAAAGCCTTGGAAATTCCTAAGTTCTTGGCACAACACTAAGGAACTGCAATATGAGACACAGATGAGCGAGGTTCATGCAGAAAATGCAAAACATCACAGGCTTGCCCAGTGGGTTAATTGTGGATGGAGAAGACCAAACGACAGCACTTAAAATCTAGGTCAATCCCTGGTCATGTCAAACCATGTAGCCCTGGTTTTGCAAACTCGCTCCTGAGTGCTGGGTCTGTGAGATGAAGGCAAAGCAAGTCACTTGATTCCCCACCAGAAAAGCAGTGGCATAGTATTGTTATCCTGATTCTAATCACTCCTAGAGAGTCTAAATTAATCCCATGGCAACAGATTCCTATGCTGCTCATCAGCTGCTCCATGCACAAACCCACAAAAGTAGTGCTTTTTCCTTCACTGTCAGTAAAACATTTGAAGAGGACCCATTTTAAAGTAGGTGTTTCTGGCACATTTCTCCAGAGAGCTCCCTCTGGACCTCATAAAGTTCCAAGGCACAAAGCTGAACAAGATACATCACAGCATATGATGACCGTACCGTCAAAACTTTTCAGAATTGACCTTATCATTTGCCCACTGGAGTCTATTTTAGTTATGAGGAAGAAATCATAGCTGACGACTTCATGGGTATCAGCTGTCAGACAGGTATAGTTGCCAGCATCTGGGAACTCTTTCACTTCAGCAATCAGAGTCCTTCCAGTTCCTTTCAGCTCGCTGTCCTTTTCCCAGTACACTGGCAGTGTCTCATCAGATGTGTTACAGGTGAGCTCCACTCTTTTAGCTGGTGTCTCAGTATTCCACTCTGATTCTATGACGTACACTGGACATTGCAGAGAAAGACATGTTAGCAGCTACTCATACCTAACAATATAAAGATTGAGCTGAGCCCTTTTTTCAGCTCTACTTTCCAGGAAAACCACTAACAAATCTCTGGCTTTCTTGCCCAAGGCCTCACCATCACCTGGAAATCTTAACTACAAGAAGAGGTTCGACTTAAAAAATCTGTGTCTCTAGAACCTGCTGATCAATAGGGCTGACATTTTAACGGAAGAAGTGATTCATTTATTTTTTTTTTCCATGTTCTCAGAGAACCTTACAGCAGTTCATAACCATAAGAAGTAGGCACGTACCTTTATTTTAAAGGTGAGGATGCCAGGACACACTGAGCCCAGGTATTCCTTGGGCATGTGGCATGTGGCCTTTCCTCACAGAATGGCATGTAAAACTACTCTGTGGATTTAGAGCTGAGCTATGATTCTTTGCCTTCTTCAGCATCAAAGTCTGTGAGAAAGCAATAAGATAGATGGGAGCTCTGGGCAGGTGGTTTGTATTTGCCCGTAGCTGTTGTTGTTTTCAATTTTCCGCAGGGAACAATCTGTGTTCCTATCACCCTGGTCCCAGTGGAGCAATTACTAAGAGATGGGGTATGACTGAGCTGAGCTACAGCAGAGCCAAATGGACTACAACAGAGGTCTTTTAACTGCCATCTGGTAATTCTGAAGAGCCTTGTTGGCCTTTCCAAATCAGAAGACATACCACATAACAAAATAATAATCCCATTAAAGAAACATTATCTTCTCTTGTCTCTTTGCTAGAGAACTTCACCTACATTTTTATGTGGCATCAGTTCTCAAAAGTAACTCTCATTGCTCAGATACACTACTGCTGTCACAGGCTTCCCAGCCATGCTCAGTGACCTCAGAGACTCTTCTACATGAAAGAAACAGCAAAAATTTGTTTCTTAGTGTGTCAAGACCACAGCAAGGCGCAGCTCAGGAAATCAGAGTTCTGAGATCTTTTCATCGGAGCACCTCACTACCAAAATGAGAGCTTTAAGACTTTATTGCTAAGAACACTAAGAAATACATGTCAAACACTGAATCTAAAATGACAGAAAACATGCAACTCCAGGTAGCTTGAAAGCTTACCAAACTACTTATGGACCTTTGAAGCACAGGCAAGGTAAATCTTACAGACTTCAAGCACAGATTATTCTCGATACTGACAAACACAGTTTTCAGCATCATAGCATTGTCCAGGGAACCCACAGGATAAATATTTTTTAAATGTAAAAATACAGGGAAAAGTAATTGAATTAGTTTTGGAAATTAAAACACAATCAGATTAAGAATGCTTTCATCATGTTGATTAGGGTCCCTTTTGGATAACTGCATTGAAGACAGCATGGATTATGGAGCTACACTGGGTGACTAGGAACAGCAAATTTATTAGCTGAATTTAGCCCAATTTTCCGGTAAGTTATTGAGAAGGTTTGCTTATTACTGACTGTATTTTTACAAATGTATTTACATTCAAGTTGTTTACCAGAAAAATTGGATAAGCCACTTCTAGGTTTTAGGTTTTACTATGAAATATTCTTTTTGACAATTAAGTCTGCACTTGCTTATTTGTGGGCTGTTACCTAAGTCACAAGATGATGTTTCTGCTTCCAGACCTCATGACTGAAACAAGAGAGTGGGAAATAAGACAGTTTCTAATGCAAAAATACAAATGGCCTTTGAACAACATTTTGGGACTTCAATGCCAGTTAGGTGGCTAGTTATTCGCAAACAAACAGGAAGAATTTTGGCCTAAGGTACTATAGCTAACAAATGCTGTACTTGTGAACAAAAACATGACTCTGAAATACCCTTGTGTCCTACAGCAGCTGCAGGTCCCAGTAAGTGAAGACTGCTTACCATTTTCCCTCAGTTTCCACTGTGCTTCCAGAAGGGCAGCAAAGGAAAATAATGAAAGTATGGCAAATAGTAAGTGAGACATCTGCAGGGAAAAAAACCAAATTACTAAACTTCATTGAGGATTACTGAGTGTGTACAGAAACCAAGCCCAATGCTGGGCAGGATAACAGCAAGAGAGAGTCAGTTCCAGTAAAGTAAGAACTCTTAGACTACATGAACATTGGAAATTAGGTTTGTACTAGACTCAAGCTGAGATTTTGATCTGCTGGTTATTGACACCACAAACCGGTTTAGAGAAGAAACCACAGAACTTAGAGGAAATTGTTGTGTGCATAGGTCTTATGTGGTCAGGAGCTCAGAAGCATTCCCAAGTCCTTCAATTAAATATTCCCCAGGCAAGAAAAGTCTTGCTGGTGTCACTGAGGCTGCTTGCGTGAACAAGGCATTCACTAAAGGATCCATAGACATTAAATTCCAGTCATACAAAGCTTATAAATATATTTCTTGGTGTATGTACATGTCAGTAGTCCTTCTAAAGCAAAGGATTGCAAATAAAATGAAGGACTGGCTGAAGTGGTTTGCTGGACTGTATTCTTCCGCACCTTGGTGAGGACAAGTGACAGCAGTGTCAGTAATGCAGTGTAGAGCTGGTGTCAATACTGACACATCCCTAACTGGTGCCAGTTATAATACCCACCTGAGGCTGGTGGATTAATTTTGCAAGCAATTTCAGGCAAAATTCCTCTTGGATTCAATGCCACAGCTGTATTTGCAGAGACAGCTGGGTATGTATAACATTGTAGCTGTGTTCATTTGAGACATAAACATATCTCTCACATGGGAATATGCAAGTATGTGGCTGTATATACAATATATAAATGTATATTTGTCCTGACTGAAAAATACAGCTAGAGCTTTTCATGAAACAGAAAACATACTTGCCAAATACTGTAGCAACCACTGGGTGCATAAAAACCTTTGACAAGTTACAGTTTCAGACCTTTTCAACTGGAGATTAAACCAAATGAACAGGAGTATGACTTAGAAAAAGAATGCACATGAAAAACACAAAACTAAGTGGTTTGGGGCTTTCTTCCTGGCAAACTAGCCGTTTTCAGTGAAAGGGGTGTAGTCCTGATTTCTTCTCATATGCCATGAAACATATTCATTTGGGTTTATGGAGGAAGAGTTTGTGTGTATTTGTATGTGCTCCAAATCTGTTGCTCACTGGCAGCTTCTGCTATTATTAGCAGTCATTAACCGTGATCAAAGTCAGCTGTCTCTGGACCAGTGCTATGTCATCTGATTTTGAACCCCTCGCAACATAGCTGTTAATGGGATTAGAAACTACAAGTATCCGGAGAGTATCTACGAGAGGAACTAGCTCGCACTGCATCTATACTCAGAGAGAGACACTACTCTCGAAAAGCCAGATACTATCAGGCAGCCTATCAGCAGTTTATTGCTTCATTAAAAGGCAAACATTCTTATCTCCTTTCCATTGCAGGCAGGATTGCCTGTAATTTGTGAAAGAAAAACACGTTTTCAGCTTTCTAAAAGACACTAATTTCTTTCATTGTAACATGGCATCCATCACTATGCTGGTATCTGAAATACAACTAAAATCTGGAGGAGAAGGGTATAAAACATGCCTTCTGTTCTATATCAGCCTTTCATAAAAACTGTAGCTTAAAAACAGGCAAGTTTCTCCTGCTTTTAGGGAGAAGATTCATAATTCAGGTTTGGACGAAAAACAAATATTAAAATTTTCATGGAAAATTATTCCATTTTGAAGATAGAGGAAGAACACCCCCCCCCCCAAAAAAAAAAACAAACTGCAAAATTAAGCAGAGATAAACTCAGTTTCTGAACATCACTAATCAGCGCAGTCGCCTAAGCACTTCATAGATGAGGAATGTGCACTGGAAGCAGGAGCTGCTGTAAATCGGCACAGATTCCTTCACTGAGGATCACAAAATGATTTATGTGAGGAGGGCCCTCTGGGCATCACTCTGGCCCAGTCCCAGCTCAAGGCAGGGCCAAGTCAATGGCACTGCATGTTTTTTTAAACCAGAGAATGATCTGACCATAACTACGTATTTGTCAATGGACACACCCCGGCAAAATGAATCCTGGTAAGATACAAAAGATTACCTCAAACCATCAGCTGTTCTGATAGATAACAATTCTATGAGGTATATAGATACACATTGCGTGCTTAACTTCAGGCACAAAAGCATATAAATACTGTCCTGTGAAAAATGTCACAACTACTATTTAAAAACATTTTAAAATAAATAATTCTAAGTTTTCATTAGCTGCACCTGAATCAGTTGGTACCAGATTTGTGTTGCCCCACTGTTAGAGAAGAAAGGAATTCTCACCTTTTCCTGCAGTGCTTGTTAGCTGAAGTTGCCAGACAGGTTGGTTTTGTGATCTGAAGGAAGCAAAGTGCTGGCTCGCTTATAAACACTTCTAACTCCGAAAGGAAAGGGATGCTCCGTTTCACCGCAATACCACAGAATTGCAACACGTGGCTTGGGTTCCTTTTTGACATAGTGGCAGAGCTAAAGCAGAAAAAAAAAAAGAGTTGGGACTCCCAGGTAAACTTTAAAGAGGAAATGAGATGATGAGATTGTTACAGTGACCTTTATGGCATGCCAGAGGCATTTCCTTTCCTGCCTGATTTTCTGTCCCTCTCCTACAGCCTTGTTCATCATCTGAGGAAGAGTAAATACAGACTAAATAAACTTCCAAAACTGTCTGATGGGAAATATTTTATGAAGACAGAAAGAGAAAGTTAAATAAAATAAATCTATTTCTACCTGATAAGCACAAAAGAGATAATTACATGTAATAAAATCCCAGCTACAACAGCAATCAGAAGCTAGGGGGAAGTTAATTTTTAACTGCTGTTTTAGGATTGCATTTAACCTAATAATTGAGACTTGGGCTAATCAAAAATTAAACTATTAGTTCTGGCTCCCAGATCAAAATCTGATGTGGTCGCATTATTTCATATTGCAGTTTTAAAATATAACCTTTTTTTTTTTTTATGACCTGATGTTCCATTGAGACTTGTCCTCAAGCAGAACAGAAGCCCCACACATAACGTACACTTTGAAAATGAGGAAAAACTTTCTATTGATTTTTTTTGTTATTTGTGAAGCAATAGAAAGCCATTCACTTTGTAAGGTAAACCAAAACTAAGTTGTTGTTCTAGCCCTGTTCCAAACCTAAGATGACTGAAAAGTTATAAGCAAGAAGAAATACATTGCTTATAAAAGCAAAAAAATGGCTTGAAATTCAGCCTGACATACTTTTGGAATTCATGAAGAGACACAACTCTACCTTGTGGGCTTTCTAGTAGCAGGAGTATTCCCATAGCCCGGAGATGAAAGCTATAATCTAGTAATCTTGCAACGAATAAAAGGGTGCCTGTCCCTTCTGCTGTAGGCCGTGGTCTTTGGAAGTCTTCCTCGCGAAGAACCAACGCAAGCATCTGCCATATGTTGCTCATTTGGTGCTTCCAAATACAGCGAGAACATAAAACAAAAGGAGAAGCAACATAAATTAGCAGCGAGATAAACTTATTATGAACCCCAGCAGTTCCTGGTGCATGGGGTTCCTGTTTACTGTCACACATCTGGGAGGCAAACAGCTGACAGGGTGGCACGCTCTAAGGTTGTGTCAGGATTCCACATTAACTGTGCTGAAAGCCTTACACAAACATACAACATTGCCAGTGGAATGCTCTTCTCTCCTCAGCCATCCTCTTCAAGCACAGCCTGAGTAGGATTACATACGCCTTTGGCTGCTGAACTTTAACTTCCACCTGACTAAACGCACAACTAGATCATTGCAATCTCAGATGGGCCTAACAACTTCCTCGCCAAGCCCAGCGTACCCAACCTGTTACTCAAACGTGAGCCCAGATTTCCCCTTGCTAGAGCTCACGGCAAGAGCAGAGCGAGAGGGCTGAAGGTTGCGAGCGCAGCTCCTGGAAGCAGATTTGAAATGGTGGCTTTGCCATAGAGAAAAACTGCTCCCCTCACATCCTGTATACTGAATCTGGATCAAAGTGGCTTATTGATTTATTCATGACAGAGAACTGACCAGCAACAGTGAACTCTTCATTCCAGATCCATATCAACAGTACAACAGACAAGCCAGAGCACTAGAAACTTCCAAACTGTTAATTAATACCTATAGGTCTCTACCCTCCACTTATCCCAAAAAGCTCTTCTCTCACCCTTCCACACATATACATGGCCTTACACACATATTGAGGGGACGTGTGGGTTACAAGCACATGAACTGTCTTTGCGTTTGGCTGATGTTCATCTTCCTCTCCTACATGATCGTCTGGGACAAATGTCTTCCCAGGCAGTTTTGGATCCTCCATTCACGTACACTGTTTATACTCCCACTCCTACCCTAACATCTATTGTTATCCAGGCTAGTTTGCCAAAGGCGGCTCACACAGACATTGACAGTTCCTCTGCTGGTGTTGTTACACTGATGAGAAAGAGAAGATGGCAGTCTGAGAAGGCATGCTGAGAAACGTGGCAGAAGTGGCTTGTGCACAGGCAAGTGAATGGTATTCAAACTGTTCCAGGTGAAAATATTGTCTACTCCTGATCCTGGTCCCTGACTACCTTTGAAACTCACATCAGCAGGAGGCTAGGCTGTGCATCATGTTCCCATTCATCGGCTTTTCCTTCCAGTGAAGACCTTGTAGCGAGGGCAGGGAGGAAGCCCCATTGAGCAGTGATGCTCATTTCCCTTTGCATTCTTAGCCTCTTATAAACGCAACCTCTGCAAAGCACTTAAGGCAGCTCTCCTTTCGCAAATGGGAAAGACCCCAGGCTGAATCTAAGCTAGGCAACATTTTTTTCCCATTTAAGACAATTTTCAATATCCAGAATTCACTTCTGTGATAACACACAAGTTCAACAGCAAGTTAGCAATGACCAGGAAAACTCGAAAGCTGCATTCAGTCACTGAGCAGATAAATAAGGGCACAAGTAAACTTACATACATGTTGCCTACTTCCTTCTCAACCCATCTTAGCTTGCCAGTTTCTTACTTAATCAACCGTGTATTATAGCTTTTGTTTTTTGACTGTAATGTCACTAATGCATAGCATAAACATCCACCCAACCTGATGGTAGTCTTTAAATGCCTGCTCAGTTCTGAAACATGAATACTTAATGATTAATATAAATAAATACACTTCTTTAGAGTGTGCACATACATGAAGCCTACAGAGCTGCCTTAGCTCAGCTATTGCTACGGGGCAAGGGAAGTAATTCAGTACCCAAGTTTTATGTCAAGAATCTTAGATGCCAGTTATGAAGCACAGACGCATCTGTGTGGAACTTCCATGATGGGATAGTTTGCTATGATCCATCAGAGGAATTTTTAAATATTAAAACGTAGAGATGGTGAAAATATCTTTGATGACAGTCTGGTTTTCCATTATGAGCTCATATATTCTTAAGGGGAAATTTGGAGGAGAGCAGCTTCTCTCCAATTATTTTATCCTAGTTCCCTTATGATGCTGAAAGAGAATGGTAGAAACTCTATGTCCATGTTTTGCTCTCCTCTAATGCAATGGAAACACTCTTTTTCGGCAGGAATGGCTTGTTTGAAAATGCTTTTCCTTTCTTTTGAATGACAGATGATTTTTGCTTTTTGGAATGACACAATTATTTTACCACAACCCAGGAAAAAAAAACCCTGCATAACGTTAGTAAAAGGAAGATTCATACAAATTGTATAATTAGTATGATTCCTCCATATGGAATTTCCTTTAGCATCTGGCTGGTTTTGCATGGATGTTGATTTGGAGATCAATGACAAAGATCAGATTTTAATACTGTTATTATTAATGTAGTAGCAGTAAGAAGGGAACTCTGTTCTTTAATTCACCAAACAGTGATTTATGCGACTTCATGAGGAAACACTGTGTAATATTAGTATATCAATGAATTTTCCTAAAAAATTCCAGTTGTGAGCTACTACATGGAATCACTGAACCAAGATTAAACCTTGAGAGAAATGCAAAGCAATAAGGGGTAAAATAATTCCCACTTTTATACAAATCAAAACCTCTAAGGTTTATACAAACTGATTTCTTTGCATAGTGACACAACTAGAACAGCCACGCAAGGTGGGGACTTTGAGCACCTCTCCTTGGATGGAGAGCACAGTAAGAAGTTTACCTCGCTTTTGCTCTGAGCTGGTATGCCATCCACTACCTCCAGAATAGAAGCTGAACAACAGTATTAGTGTGGCCTGACCCAGTTAATTGGCTGGTATCATGCTAATGTAGTTACTCAACTTTAGATTAGAGTTAACTGTTGTTCAGGGTAGGGTTGAATATGGATATAAAATACATGCAAACACAGAGCACATGCTTCTCTAAATGAAGAGAAGTGGAAAGAAGGGGTTTTTGCCTCTTAGTCCTACTCCTCCGATAGTAAATTCACATCTTCCCAGCCAACTTAAAACTCATGATACAGTGGATCTCTCTCTATAGACTCCATTATACATGCAACCTCTGTTTAGAAACAGTAGTAGAAGTGAAAAAATAATGTGAGGAAGGAGCTAGTACCATCCTGCCTAAGAATGAAAAAAAAAAGCAAAAAGAGGTATGTCATTTCAATAGAGTTTTAAGAACCAAATTACATCTTCTACAGTAAATGACTCCAGAGAGTTAATGGGATTTGGGTACCCAAGTCTATGATATCCTTTTGCAAATCTCCATAGTCACTCAGAAAATACTGGGCAGAGATACAAAAGAAACAGATTCATCGGAGAATGATAGAGATACCAGCCTCTCTTTAACAAAGGAAGCACAAAAGCTCCTCCCCCAGAGCATGCATGTGAAGATTGTTCATTGCTTTTTTAAGTGCATTGCAATGCAGTGCAATGCAATGCTTCCTATTACATCAATCCTCTATTTCCATCACAAATCTCTTGTTTACATTTGGTAAGTCTGATATGTTACACCCAGCTGGAGGATTGAGATGCAAGTTGCTCACTTTACGTAAAGTTCACTCACTTCTTGAGTGTGATGCTGAACTATTTGAAATCCACTGTCACCGTAACTTAGGCCAGGATACAGTGCTGGGGGTGGGGGAAATAACGTATCAAACTGAAAGTAAAGGGAAAAACCAAGCTGTAACTTATTGACTTAAATTCAAGCAGCATTTTCTTGTTTGTCAGGCAACTTCTATAGAAAGGAGGCCAGACACTTGGTTTCTTTGCAATTCTAAAATTGCATATAACATTTTTTGGGGTATTTGCAGTAAGTTAGTAATAGACAAGGAAAAAATCTTTGGGCAACAAATTCAGAAAGGAATTGCAGAAGTTAAGCATGCCTCAGAGAGAGGTGTTATAACAACACCTTTTGCAGGAGTCATTACATTGTAATTTCTGTGGGATTATATAGAATATGTGATTTTAACCTCACCCACCTGCCAATAGCACAGCCTTTGAAGGACAGGTTACTCTTTGGGGTACTTTTTTAAATTATTCTGCTTCAGCAACTGTAACAATTTGTTTTGGCACTAGGATTTGCAGTCTCAGAGATTAAAGGAATAAGAAACTGTTGGCAACATGAGACATTGTTCTCCTTTAATGAAGTATAAACTTGTTAAATCCCTATGGCTACATGCAGTATCCAAGAGCCTTAAGAGGAAAAGGCTGCTCATGAACCATAGGTGAAGGAGTGCTGCTTTTGCACTGGCTAGCATAGCCCATGCTGAGTGATCTGCAGCTCTGATGAAGTGGAGAACTGGGAATAAAAGTGCCGTTCATTAACTCCCATTTTAGGGAGAAAGGGAAAATTGTCAAAGGCACTGAAAGACATTATCATAGACTCACAGAACCACAGAATGGTTTGGATTGGAAGGGACCTTAAAGCTCATTCAGTTCCAACCCCTGCCACAGGCAGGGACACCTTCCACTAGAGCAGCTTGCTCCAAGCCCAGTCCAACCTGGCCTTGAACACTGCCAGGGACGGGGCAGCCACAGCTTCTTTAGGCAACCTGTGCCAGTATCTCACCCCCATGACTGAAATGTGTTTATGAAGAACAAAGTGAAGTCTCCTTCTTGTCCTTCTAATACACAGACACTTCCTCCTGTGGGGAAAATGATTTGTGCTATATACAAGCACACTGCTCGTGTACCAGCCTGTTATCATAGCATTAATGACAGGAAAACAAAGTAGAGCAGAGCAGAGGAGTTATTCTTACTAGTAGTTCCGTTGCCTAAGTCTACATTTACATGGTATTTCACAAGCAGATTTGAAGCTTTCTTAAGAGGGTGGGCTGTTCAGGCTTGGCACTGTGCTAACTACTGCTGTGCAACTCTGGATCAAGCTCAGGATCCCAGCAGAGCAAGCTGACATCTGGGTATGAAATACTGTATTAATAGAATTTCGATTGTACTTTAGTGCACGTATGTCAGTACAAAGTGGAGCCATTAGGAAAAATACTTCTCTTATCTGCCTTTATTGCTATTTTGAAGGAGAAAATGGGCATAAATTACTCAAGGATATACCTGGAAGAATAGGGAAGTAATGACAACTTCCTACTTTGATACGTAATTATTAATGTTTATGTATTTATTTTATACTAAAACCTAGACACTCAAACTGCGACGGGAACCCCATATTATAAGGGATACCAGGACCAAGATTCAGTGCCTGGTCATGAGGTAAGCATATTGTTGCACAATTTTTTATCTGTCAGAAAATTCCAGGCTCCTGGAGGGGATGAATAGGTATTTCAAAGTATGTAATAGAGCTTTAATGCCTCCTATGACTGTTAATGAATGAGGTCATACAAGGCCTATTTGGAAAGCAAAGATGTTTCAGAAATGAACCATTGAAGCGTCCCTCAACTTCTGAAAGTCGAAGGAAATTTCTGAAATGACTGCAGTGGTTGCTTTGTGACACGACATTCACTTCTGCAACTTCTGTCAACGTTCTCCCTGCTGAAGTCATGTTGTAATAAGAGGGACTACAGTATTACCACCCTGAGTGCTAAAAATTCAGGAGCTTTAACGTGTGTTGGTTTCTAGCAACCACAGTGGAATGGGGAAAAGAGAGGGACTCTGGGCTGACAAATCCTCCCTGCTCTTACGTACCAGATAACATTTGGAATAGAAGTGCCCAGGAGGGGCTACAGCCCCGCTGGCCTTTCCACATACCATATACTCCAGGGACTTGCTTTTTAAACAGTATTTTCTGTCTTGTGCCGGTATGCAGCTGCATTGCACTCATCAGCTGCTCCTTGCAACCACAATAGC